TACACAGAGAAACCCTGTCTCGAAAAACAAAACAAAACAAAACAAAAATTCATTTTGGGCTGGAGAGATGGCTCAGAGGTTAAGAGCACCGACTGCTCTTCCAGAGGTCCCGAGTTCAATTCCCAGCAACCACAAGGTGGCTCACACCATCCATTATGAGATCTGGCGCCCTCTTCTGGTGTGCACATATACATGGAAGCAGAATGTAGTATACATAATAAATAAATAAAATCTTAAAAAAAAAAAATGTGTCCCATTGATTTCCAGCCTCAATAGAGTACCCACAATATCACAGACACTCAATATTTACTGAAGGAGCTATAGTTACTCTTGATTGTAGTCACTGTTCGGACAGCATACTAGTTCTGCACATGATGAGTTACTGATCACAAAATAAAGTGTCAGTGTATCCGTATACTCATTAGCTCAATTTAGTAAAAACCTTCAAGTAATGCTTTAAAAATACATACTTGCCAGGCACAGTGGTGATGCCAGAGCAGACAGAGATCTTAGCACTTGGGGAGCAGAGCAAGCTGACCAGAAATTCAAGGTTATCCTCAGTTATAAAGAGAGCTGGAGGTCAGCCTGGTAAAATGAGATCTTGTCACAAAATAACAACAAAATTCAAAGCTAGTGACTAACTTATGCCATTTGAGTCTGGTCTCAAACAACACAAAACCCAAATCCAAACCAACATCCCTCGATCCAGGCTAAGGCCAGAGATTCACAAATTCCAGGCTAGCCTGAGCTTTAGTGTGACACCCCATTTCAAAAAGAAACAAATGCAAATTTAAACCCCCAGCTCTGGTGTCCACACCCGAATTCTCAGCACTTGGAAGGCTGTGTCACTCAATCAAGACCAGTCAGGGCTCAACAGTGGGACCTGATCCCAGTTCTTAAAAAACCAAGAGGACTGGAGAGATGGCTCAGTTGTGAAGAGCACTGGCTGCTCTTCCAGAGGACCTGGGTTCAAGTTCCAGCACCCACATGGCAGTTCCCAACTAACTCCAGTTTAGGAGGAGTCAATACCCTCTTCTGGCCTTATGGGGCACCAGGCACACACATGGCACACATATACATGCAAATAAAACATTCTTTTTTTTTGCCTACACCACCATGCCTGGCTAAGTAAAACATTCTTGTACATAAATAAATCTTTTTTAAATAAAATTAAATAATCCCACTAGGGAATCGGCCGACTTCCAAAGTCCTTGGTCTGGGGATTCTTCTCCAGGATGAATTTTGCTGAGGACCTGTTCCTCCCAGCACACAGTGCTACCCCAGGCTGCTTGGATCCCTGTGGAACGCTGCTCAGACAACAGAAGTGTTGGGCATGGGCTGGAACCTATGAGGGGCAGCCTGGCTCTCACAGCTCTGTGGGAACTCGCTACCTGATCCCCTGGGGTGTCCAGAGCATTTGATAGGGTACGAAAAACATGTGACTTCTTTTGAAAACTGTGTTAAATGACAGAGCCTAAACACGTTAAGGGGAGCAGTGTAAGTGACAAAGGTGAACTTAATCTCCTTCTCCATCCGCATCTGAGAATCACCTCAGGGCAAACCAGTCTTTTTGCAAGAAAATCAAATGTTCTTTTACTGGCAAATTTAACAATTAAAACACTCAAGTTCAGAGCGCTCTCTGTGTTCTTTGTCTGCAATCCTTTGCTCACACTAATCCCACTCACCCCTTCTGAAGTGTTTTTCTCTAGCACTCCCTAACCAAACAACAGCTCCATGACCCCCTAATGCCTGCCCGGTCCATTCAGCCCAACACAGCTTGGCCTCCCTGGCTCTGTACCGAACTCTTTCCACCCAGTCCAATGACCACACACAATCTGCCAGATTCATCTTGAGGGATCCCTAAGTCACTCTTATAGAAAACCTCCAGGGCCTGTTCTGGAGACAGCACAGACCAGCCATCCCAGCTCACAGGGGGCTTTAGCACCCCCACTCCTTACCCCAAGGCTTTGGCTGTGCTTCTGTGCCTGCCAGCTTGGCCTTTTACTCCAGCTTTGCCCAGAAAACTTGATCTGCTGCGGTTTCCACACAGAGCACTTCTGGCACAATGCTCCTCCCTCCCACACTGACCTTGGCTGTGTCTCCCCTGACCTTGAGAGGGCCCCTCACTACGGGCCCTGCTGTTAATGGCCAGTGGCTTAATAAGACTTCATGCACTGTGAAAGTCCAACTTCTTAAAAAGTGAAGGAAATGGTCAGGAGGCTGCCAATCACCAACAGCCTGAGCAGATCGCTCGCTAAGAAAACAGCAGCAGCAGTCAAATGCGCCAAAGGTCACCATTATACCATTTCAGAAACCATTTCAGAACAGGTGTTTCCCATTAGCATTTATCTTGTATTTTATTATAATGTGTGTATGTCTGTGTGATTTGGGGATGGAGAAAAAACTTATGCACAGCACTTGTGTGGAGGCCAGAAGACAACTTTGTAGAGCCGGCTCTTTCCTTGGACCTTCATGCAGCTCCCTGAGGACTCCACTCAGGTCACCAGGCTTACACCGAAAGTGTGTTCCCTGGGCTGGAGAGATGGCTCAGCGGTTAAGAGCACCGGCTGCTCTTGCAGAGGTCCTGAGTTCAATTCCCAGCAACCACATGGTGGCTCACAACCATCCGTTATGAGACCCAGAAGAAAGTGTGTTCTGGCTGACTCTCTACTAGCACTCCTCTCCATCAACTCTCAGACAGTAAGGATAAACATGTTCTTTCCAAGATCGGTCGGTCTGTCTGTCTGTCTGTCTGTCTGTCTGTCTCTCTCTCTCTCTCTCTCTCTCTCTCTCTCTCTCTCTCTCTCTCACACACACACACACACACACACACACACACACACACACACAGCCTGCTTCTGAGGAAAAGATGAACTACAGGGGCATTATCTTAAAACTTGAAATCCAAAATAAACCACACTATAAAGACTGTTCCACAATTTAAATTTATTTAGACTTGTGGTGTCTAGTGCCTGTCAGGATTTAGTACAGAGTCTAATGTCTGGGACTGGCCCACTAGTCCACATCTTCTGAAACTGGAGATACATTAAAGGTTTCTAAGCCACAGAAGACGCTAAGTATTCAGAGCTGAGTGAGGTAACTGCCTGGTGACAAAAGACATTCTCAAATATACTCACTAAATACA